TTATCCGCCGGTCTTCTGCCAGAAAGCCCACCTCGCCTGCGAGAGAGAAACCGCAGGGCACAGCACTGTCAGCGGGCGCAGGGCTGGCTCCAGGTCTAGATTTGGCCCCAAGGGCTGAAGGGCTGCTGGGCTGAAGGGTGAGAGACAGTATTTACTGGGCTCTGGTCCCTGACTCGCTGGTACCTTCATCTTTCTGGCTCCGTTCCACCACCCTAACGCCAGAGCCGGGGCCCCCCCCCAAGCCTCTGGGGTCGGGCGGGGGACGGGCAGCCGGTGTCGGGAGGAGGACGGACAGCGCGTGGAGAGGGGAAATACTTTCCTGGGTGGCCCATGGCGCAAGATCAGGCCAGGACCTGGGAACAAACACGATGAGGAACGATGTGGAAGAGGCTCACCTTGCGACAGGAGAGGAACTATCGGTAAGAAAACACCCCCCCACACACCTGTCCCCAGGCCCTCTCGAGGGGTTTTACAGGAACAGCCCCTGAGGCACCTCTGCAAGGTTCGCTTCGCTCTCTGAGTAATTTCTCAAAGAAAAGCAGCAAGAGCCAGCGAATGCCAAGATGACTCAGTGAGGATCAGCGAGAGAGAAGGGCAGTGTGGGCGGCTTTTGAGCTTCCAGCTCCTGGGGATAAAGAGGAGGCCAGTGGGGAAGGAATTAGCGTCTCCACCGGCGCAGCGACCAGCCCAGCTCAGGTTCTGCCTTGCTGGGGCTGAGCAATCTCGTTTGTGCTGCCTTTGAGGAACAGGGGGTGGGCAATCCCCGCTCCGTGCTCTGCAGCTTAGAGAGAACGATTTCCAGCTCCTCTGATGTGGTTTCAGGCAAGTCTGACTCCTCTGATCCAGCAGGAGGGTTTCCTGCAGGGTCAGGAATGGCTGCAGAGGGACAAGCACTGCTTGTGTCGAGGTCCTTGGGCTCCTCTGAGCCGAGACACGCAGCTGCAGAAAGGGCCCGGATGTCTCCCAAGGGTCTCGGAGGGTGCTGGCAACATCCCTCGTGCCCGGTGCAGACCAGAGCCACGCCAGGGCACCACAAGGAGCTGCCTCGTGCCTGCAGGAAAGCCAGTGATCCCCGCGTCACATCTGAGCTCTGGCTGCTGGTTGTGCACGGGAGGGGGCCGGGGGGACACCAGCTCCCACGGAGCAAAGGCAAGGTGAGTCACTCCTGACGAAGGACTATTCTTGGCCCCGGCACCCACCTCTGTTCTCCCCCCAGTGCTGCGTTTCTTGCTCTAGGCTTTCTTAACACAAAAGAAAAGCCGCCTCCTTCTCCTTCCATGTATCTTACCTCTTTTATCTTTTCCCTTGTAGACATCAGCCCTTCCAGCACACCCAGAACACTTCATCTCCAGCAGTGAGGGACGTGTCTCGCTGTGGGTTTGGGCAGGGCAGGGACCGGCAGGTCACAGAGCAGGACCACTGGTGCCACCAAACCCTTCAGCATAGGCTGGTGGCTTTCCCGAAGGAGCCTCCTGGCTCCAGGGCAGCAGGATTTTTCCCAGCTATTAAACTTCTGCTGCAGCTGCTGATAGGAAAAAGCTCGATTTTCCGCTCTAGATTTTGCTCCCAAAAAAAAGCATTTTCTGTGCCTGACTTGTAAGCAGCTCCTGCTTGCTTTCTTTGGGGAAGAGACGCAAAACAGGCTCCAAACGCAAGGAATAAGCCCCCCAGATTTTCACCTTCTGCAGGAAGTGCTTGTCACTCCCGTAAATGTGCTAATGTGACGTGTGCCAGCCTCATGACCGCAGTTTAAATAAGTTCTGAGGCCTCAATAGCCAGGAAACCTTCAAACTAAACAGCCCTGGCCTCCTTTTTCCTACTGCTTAGCATGGGAGCCTTCCTCTGCAATGGTGACAGCAGATTATAGTAATTATTTTTTTTTTTAAAGAAGGCTAAAAAGGAAGATTCCTGCCAGTAAATTCATTCAGAGCAAAGTATCAGACACCATCAGAACTACAGTTAAACCACAGCACCTGGCAGCACCACGAGCAACCTTCGTGCAATCCCACGGGGCCTGTTTCTTTCCCATGGAGTAACCCTCCTTCCATGGAGCAACCCTCGAGCAGTGAACTCTTACCTTTCCTGTTGGATCTCACAAAGGACAGGATCACAGCCTCCTTCTCTCGTCCCTGGAAACCATCGACTGATTTAATTTCCAGTTCTGGGTACCTGTGGCAAAGGTGCTCTCTTAGCATGTCCACCTGGAAAACACACAACAGACACCGTCTAAAGAAAAGCATGAGGTGAGAAGGACGAAAACTGTATTGTTTTGGTAAAGTCCCCTCCTCTCAAACCCACAAGGATGAGCGCTCGCATCTCCCCAAGGTCAAACACTGACTCCTGTGGCTGAGGGGGAAAAATACTCGTCTAACATCTCCTTCCTCCACGGCCTCAAGTGGCTTAAATGCGAGAAGTTGGCCACAAATGCTGAGTTTGGTTTGGCCCCACTGACTCCCACCTTCACTCCTCTGAGGACGTTCTGGCACCGCTCCTGAGGATGTCAGGGCTCGAACGCGCCGCTGTGCGCTCGCTCTTTGCGTGGAAAGGAGCTGCCAGGAGAGGCTCGTCTCACCTGGAGGTTGTAAGGGGCTACGACAGCGATGTCTTTTGCCTTCACACCAGCTTCCACCAAGGCTTGGACGTGCAAACCGGCCAGCTGCACCTCCCCTAGGGGGCAAAGCAGAGGGGGTGATGGAAAGGGCTGGCAGGCACCGCCCGAACCCACTAAAAATTCAATTCTCTGTGCTGCAACTGAAAAAATCTTCACCTCTCCCTTCTGTTCTGCTTTTTCAAGTGCCTGTGTTGCTAAACCCCCGCGACCAAACAAACAAGCTCCACGCTCGGATCCATGTGCTCGGACCTTGCAGAGAGCACAGGCAGCCCGCTGCAAACCACTGGCTGCCTCGGACAGACGCGGGCTGCTCCAGGGCTCTGATGTGGACCAGTTCAAACCAAATGTGAATTATTTCACCGGTTTATTGGCTGGGCTGGCTTTACACTCTATTTTTCAGCAAAACACAGCTGTAACACCCAAGAATCTGCAGCATGCTGCTCCAAAAGGCTGCCTCCCAAATTGTGGGAGATGTGCATTTAATCCCCTGCTTGAAATGCCCGAGTTATCTCAGACAAGTCTTTCTGGCTCTCCACTTGGGGACAAGAGCCCTTCTCTGTTCAAAAAAAAATGGTGCATAGAAAAACAAGAGGCACTTAGACACTGGTGAGTTCTCAAACAAAAGAAAGCGAGAGGTATTTAAACTGGTAAAATCTGTATCCTTGAATTTCACAGTCCATTTTCCCTGTCTTGCCAGAGAGGGACTGGAAGCCGCAGAAATCTGTTGCTGGCACGAGATCTGCGCCGGTGAGCTGGGAGGAAAACAAATGGAACCCTGAAGCGGGCAGCTGCGTTGCCAAATCAGCTCTTTGGCCATGTGAGAGTGAAGGGCTGAAAAAGCCCGCAGCTTGGCCATCAGGAAACACACAGGGGTGTCACCGTCCAGGGGAAGATGTTGCCCTGGAAGAGGAATCTCACATTGCCCAAAGCCCAGGCTGCCTGTGCTCACCCAGCAATCCTCAGTGTCTTAAGAAAATTCATGGAGAGCAGCCACACAGGACCACATGAAAGGAGCAAAGGACTGGGAGGCACTTCCGAGCGACACCTACAGCCTCTCTAAAACAGGTCTGGTTGATCTTATGTGCCCTGCCCTCAGGTAAAGCATCTGTCACAGGGACCCTCCACCGTGTCCTGGGCCACAGCACCGAGGAACGTCTCTGCAGGGGAACGCAGCAGCTGGCGTGGCCACCCACAGGTGGCTCGATGTCATCGTGGTCCTGAGGCCACTCCGCTGTGGGGATGTGTAGCCACGTTCCCCTGGCTACCTGCCCTGGAGGGGGACATCACCCGGTGCAGCGGGCCAGCCCGCGGGAGGCCGAGGACTTCAGACAATCAATTCTGGCCAACAAAATGATGCGAATGGCCGTACCTGGATTCCCCTTAGACTGTTCATCTTCCACCTCCAGCTCAAAGAGGCCACAGCCAGCAGTGTCGATGAGCAGCAAGGGAATCGTGGTCTCTTCTGTGGAGGTGACGCCTGGCAGGTCCCTGCACCAGATATTTGGGAAAGGGCCAGTCAACAACACTGAAATTATGCCAAAAGGGATGGTCAACTGGTTTTGTTGCTTAGTCCTCCCCACAACCCTGCACAGGCAGGGAGAGGACAGAGCCAGACAGCGCTTCCGAGGGGCGAGGCAATGGAGCAACGGCAGTGTCAGGTGGGGTGAAAACGCAGGCAGGTGGGCTCTGGAGGTGGTGAAGAATGATAGAAACTGAGAACTGAGGTTCCCTCCGTTCTGCCCCACCACGCTTTGGTCCCCTTTGCATCTGGTGCTGAAGAGCACGTCGTGGAGGGCAGTAAGTGAGCAGAGCTCTTGGACTCTGGTGGGCTCCCGGCTTTCAGCTCCTCGGGTTCAGCGCCAGGACAGCACAGCAAGTCCCGAGAGCTCTGGGGCAGTTTGGCAATGCCAGAAAGCTGCAGCCGAAAAGCCATTATTGCTCTGCACCGCGGGATTGACACTTAAATGTTCTCCCAGAACGCAAACAAAGAGCTGAGGGCCCTGGAGAGCTTTCTCACCAGCTCTGCCACACAGCCCAGTGACTGCAGGGCAAAGCGGTGTGTGGGTGTGAGCGTCTCACTTAAATGGTCTTGAACAGAAAGATGTGCACACCCAGCGAGATGTGGCAGGTGCTTTCTGGTTTTTACGGTGTTGAGAGGGAGAAGGGAGGTTGTGGAGTCTCGTTCCTTGGAGATATTCAAACCTGCCTGGACACGCTTCTGTGCGATCTAGCGTAGGTGATCCTGCTCTGGCAGGGGGCTGGACTAGATGAGCTTTTGAGGTCGCTTCCAGCCCCTGACATTCTGTGATTCTGTGAATGCCTGACACGTTACCAGAGATTTGACAGCAGTGCTGTGGGGCAAGAGAAGAAAGCGCAGCGCGAGGAACACACAGGGATTGGGGTTTCACATAATTTCTACATCTAAAGCTTCTGCGTTCAAAAAAAGGAAATTAATAAATTCTATTTCAATACCCAAGGAACTTGCTAGCTGAATTCACAGCCTAGGAAGAGGACAGACTATGGAGGGCAGGAACGGAAAGCCTGGAGATGGCAGGAGAGCTCTGAAAAGCCACGCTGCTGTACATCATGTACCAATCACGGGGAGCCGCGACTCTGGGGAGTCTGCAAACGAACAAGGTGGGCAGTGAGCCATCAAAAAGGACCAGACCAGGACCACCTCCAGCTCCCCATTAGCGTGTTTCCTCCCCTGCAGAAGATACAACAGGTTTATCTCCCTCTCTTTGCAACATCAAACCTGGCAGGTTTCCCATCTCTTTTCTACCTGCCCTGCTTACTGTCCTACCACTATCCACAGCTCTACAGTCAAAAGGCTTTGAGCAAAACCTGAGCTCTCCCTGTAGATAATCTCAACTCTTTGCCTACTCGCAGCGGCCACGGAAAGCCACTGCAGCATCTCTGAGAGCCAGGAAAAATCTCAACCCCGGAAATGTCGCTTCAGAGAAGTAATTATCTACATAAATCTTTTAGGTGAGAGAAGAATTTGGGCTCTTCTGAGGCAGTGATCTTGCAGAAAACTGGGAGAAAAGCTGCCCAGTCCCTTCAGGCTGAAGGGGAAAGGCACTTCTCCCACCTGCTGCAAGCTAGCCCAGGCTGCAGCAATGGATTTCTGTTGCTGGAGAGATTCCTGGTCTGTGATGACAGCCAGGATGTCCCTGCAGGGAGACACTGGGCATCTGAGCACCTCCCAGGTCTCACGGCCCTGGGGGGGGTTCCCCCACACTCCCCATCGGCGAGGGGGTGTTAGCCCAAAATAAAATGCGAAGGGAAGGCACACCCGACACTGTACTTAGATAAAAACTGACAGCAGAAGCGGCTGGTGGTTTTCAAACCGTCTCTTCAGAGACTGAGTCACACATTCTGAATGTGAAAAGCACTGCTTGCACCCTCCCTGCCTTAATTCTGGCGATGTGTAGGGGTTTCTGAAGTGCTTTGTCACCCATTTCAGGAGGAAGGGAGATTTGGGAAGAAGGTTTTGCTCCCTTGGAGATACTGAAGCAATACCGCAGGAAACCTGAGGAACCTCTTTTGAGAAAAGATGGTGCTGCAGAAGCTCTAACAGATCACACACCGAGCGCTCCTGAGAGCCTCCAACACCAGGACACAGTGAGGGAAGGAGGTAACAAAAAGCTCCAGACCCAGAGCCTGTCCCCTGCTGTAGCTGCAGCCCAGGCTTCGGCTGCTTTCCGGCCTGGGCAGGTGACTCCCGCGGGCGCTCGCCGCCCTTCCACCTCCCTAGGATGGTTGTAAGAGAGCATTTCTTAGCACTGTCAGAGATTAACACTTCCTTGTTTCTTGCTCAGGTAAGGGATTAAGCAAATCGTTTGGCTTAAGCCACCAAAACACGAGATGCTCACAAACGCCATGAAGGAAGTTGTATGAGCAGCCTCAACAGGAGAAGATCGTGGTCCCGTATCAAGCCTCTGCATCAGCCGGTCTTCCAGAGCAGCTTTTACAGGGCGCAGGGCCCGGAGGGAAGATGGCTGCACTCACACGATGTGTCGGCAGCGCTGGGGACTGGCAGGTTTGGTGATGAGGTTAGAAACCAGCGTCTGCAGAAAAGGGCCTGGGCAGGGCACGGAGCTGCACTGCGGGCTGGAAAGAAAAACGTTCGCTCCTTTACCAGCTCTAAAAATAAACCAACTCAGCAGAATAACAAAGTCGCCTAACTTCAACTTTTCAATCGGCTTCCCATTTAATGGTTTCAAACTATTTCGCCCGGGGCTCTTCGCTAGCTGCTATTTTTAATTCCCAGCGTTAAATGGAAAAATCAGCATGGCAAGGAACAAGAACAAGCAAGAAGAGGGTTTTGTACAGCACCGGTCCTGGAATTAGATCTCTATGGCTAAATCATCGCTGGATGAGTCCCACCACACTCATCCGTAAAACCACCTATGTGCACAGAAATAACAGACCCCAAGGCAGAATTCAGCACAGCTTCACTGATCAAAGTTGAGCCGAAGCCTCAACAGCCCTGAAGCCTTAAAACAGAGCAACTGACCCAAGCAGAAATCCCGGGTGACTGCAGCAGCTGTAGAGGAGGGTGCTGGGGCTGCCTCGAACACAAAGCTTGCTCTGCCCATCCAGGTACTATTCACACCGTTCACAAGCAAGATTATTTTGAAACAAGTATGATAAAACAGCCTCTCCGGCCACTTCTGTCCAAAACTGGATCTACTATGAAATGGAGAGATTCGAGGGGAATATCCATTTTTCCAGCTACTAAATATTTGCATTTAACAGAAAGTATTGCTATAATTACCACAGCCCCATGCAGACTGTTATAGTTTTTGCTTCTCCAAGTCCAACAGAGAAAATTAATGTTTTCCCAGCTGCCTCCCAGAACTGCACTGACTGCAATTTTAAAAAGCACCGATTATTGACAGTCACAGCGTGTGTTGGCAAACAACAGCCTGTCCCGGGATGCAGTGGAAATGAAATGCTAGTCATTTCCTTTAAATTATCAAAGACAGGAAAAACACTACAGACAAGGAGCGGATCCGACACAGTCAGAGCTGCCTCAGGTGCCATCCTGAGGGAAGCAGGGAAGGGAATCTCACTTTCTGATCCTCCCAGCGCGGATCAGTTGGGACCAATGACGGGACATGCACTGGCCCTCACCACGGTGTGGACATGTGGAAACACAATCACAGACTGATGTCTGGTCCTCCCCTCAGCTGCAGACAAACACTGCTTGGGATGCGCACGCCGCAGGTCAGGCCTTCAGCTGTTCTCACCAGCTGCAAGGGGAATTTATTTTGTTGCTTGTGATACCAACAGAGGAAAGAGAAGAACACTTGGCATGGCTTCTTGTCACATACGAGAAAGGACTATCCCCTCCCAACTAACGCTTCCTTGATGGAATGAGGGATGAAACACAAGTGTTAGCGCAGGGCCAGGAGGAATGGAAAACTCCATCCCAGGGAAGGGATGAAGAAGACATCTCTGCTGCCAGACTGGTGAAGAGCAAGTCACTTACTTGAGCAAATGAAGGGCCACTGACGGGTGAGCAGTGAGCCGGCCGCCGTACATCTCCGTGGAAGCCCACTGCATGATGGCCTCGTGCATGCGGTACTGCACCGTCAGCATCTTCACAACCTGCTCCCCGTACCGCTCGATGAGCCGCTCCATCAAGCTGAGCGAAAGGCCCTCGGCAGCAGCCCTGCGTGGGGAAAGCGAGTCAGCAGTGGAGCCTGGACGTCTGCTCTGGGCGAGGAGCTAAGGTAGGGACGCGGCCCTCTTGGCATGGAAGGCTTGGGCAGCGTCTCGCTCCAGATGCAGCCTTGGCAACGCGGCACTGATTGACACCACCAGAGCACCCGGGATACCTGCTGGGGACCGGCTCTACCAGGATGGTGTGACCCCGCTGGCCTTCCTCCTCTGCTTCCCCTGGGTACTGCGGGCGCTGCAGGAGAAGGCTGCAGGGTCCCAAGCGTTACCTTTCAGGCTCCCCAACAGGGTGAAGACCCCCAGGGGCAGACCTCTGCCTTGCACGGAGATCAGATCGGCTTTTATGTGTTGGGGGGGGGGGAGCTGGTCCGCCCC